AGCTAATAGACATATCAAGATAAGTGACATGACATTCGATGGTTTTGCTGATCTTAATTCTAAGTTATATGAATGCTTTAAAATATTTGAGTTTTGGACTATACAAACCTTGAAATCCACAATACTCGTGAAATCATTTGTATGCGTTCTCGCTGACTCGACTCGTGCTATAGGTAAATTATAGGTATGAGCCGAGCAACAATTTGCTTGTGCAAGCCACACATCGACTACTAGGCTCGAGAGCCAGCGAGCCAGTTCATCAACATGTGGGAAAATGACATTTAATTAAAATAAATAAATAAACATTGGCAAGCAATAAGCCAGCTCACTTGGAAAACCAAATGGAGCTCAACATTAGGCGAGCGGCGCGAGTCGACTCACCACACTCTCCACCCTTAATTTGGTGTAGTGATAGAATCCTGAAAGATGAATCAAAATAGTCCGTTTCAAACTACAAACTTTAATAGTCATCCAAATGAGATTCACAAGACAAGTAGCAAATCAATAGATATTACATGATACACTGTATTTAGTATTTTCAATATTCCCATTCTGGGACTAGTCAGTGACTATGGATCCCCGAAGGAAGGGAATAAAATACTCCATAACCAAAAGGCAAAGGCAAAGGCAAAGGCAAAGGTATTGGTAATGGTCCGACTCTACACTATTGAACCACGTAATTTAAGAAATATACCATAAAGGTAGGTAGAAATTTATAAAAAGACTTGTATAGATATGGATAGCATATGTAATTAAAAACTTTTTGACGTCCCTAACCAAAAGGAATTTCATTGGGAGAAGAAAAGAAAGCAAACCTTGTTAAGCTTAAGACTTGAGACATTTCAAAGTTTTCCTCTTTATTTTATGATAATTTACAAGTGCAAAAGGAATACAATAATTAATATTTTTACTTTCATTTGTGACGCCACGGTGTAATCGAGGAAATAATTCATAAATTGACCATTGAATTGACCGTTTGTGAAGAATAAGCAAATGTTGGAATGATCAAATTGATAGACATTTCTTTACTATTTAATTCAGTAAGAATTTTCAAGAAGCAACCCAAAGACAGTGAAAAATCCTTTAGTTTCGTCCTCAGGGCATAGTCCAGTGGTGCAAAAAACAGGAGTGAGGTTATCTCACGTTTTGCTAGCAACCGCAGTGTAAGAGTTCAATTCCTGAGATATGAAATTGGCCTCCTTGTAGACGCAGTATACAAACAACTCTTATTCCTTGGTTTGCCGGGACACATCCCGCAATTTACCTCCTCACGAAATTCTAGGGGTTTAACCTTTTATTTATTTATTTTTTTTTTTTTTTTGCTTCAGTTTCGTCCTTTAAAAAATTGTTCTTATTGCCACGATAAGATGTCAATAACATTTTAAGTAAAATATACGACTAGACAGAAACCCAAACCTTTTAAAGTTTTAACTTTTTGTGCTCGTTAGGGGCCTTTGATAGCTATATAAAATATTGTTTTCTCACTTCAAATTGACTTTTGTGGTAACGTGGTTCAACAACCACCAAGTCACATTCATGACATTAATTTCAATTTTTCTTACCGTCTCTAGGGTTATCTTGCAAGAAAAATGTGTCTTCAATTAAGTAAGTGTTAGGAAACTATGTTTGTCGTATTATGTCTAAGCACGACATGACCTTAGAAAATGACTCAATGCACTCCAAGGAAACATTCTAGCTGAGATAGAGCGAATGAATCAGTGCAATGTAAGGTCGATCTATCATGTCCAAGCAAACCGTCGATGTTATGAAACCATTTAGATGCTGTAACTAAGAATTCAATTACGGCTGGGTGGTCGCCCAAAAATTCATTTTTGTCGAGGATTAGATCGAAGATATAGAAAAAGCAATGAAGTTATTTTTAGTTAGTCGATTATACTAAATCCTTGTTCGTAGTAGATTTAAAAAATAAATAAATAAAAATAATCAAAATTATGTTACAGAATTTTTTTTGTACTCGTCTCGGCTAAGAATCCTAGTCGACTTTGTGACTGGTTGGAGATCACGTTAACTAGGTCATTTTGCTATGTTCGAGCTTTGATAGCATTCTTAAGCTTATGTATGACTCATGTTGATAAACACTCAAATTTACTTTTTACGTACACATTTTGAGAGATTTAAATATACTATTCACTTAATTATCATTTATTTCTATTTATTTATAATTTAAAATTTTTTTCAATACTTCCAAAACATACTTAACCCTTGTTTGGTGGGGATTAAAAGCATATTTTTAATAGATTTTGATAAAAATTGATGAAATGTGTAATTAAAAAGTTATGGATCCCATGAAATATATGACTAAAATTAATTATTAACTTCGACTTAAATTAAATATAGATTTTAATCCCACTAAATAGGGCTTAATATACAACTAGTTTCAAGGGAAAAATTCAAAAATTAGGGGTTAAGTGTGACAAATTCAATTTTCAGGTATCAATTTTCAGAATACAAAACTCATGTATTAGCTAATTAATTAAATTTAATAAGGTTTCAATTTATTTAATTATAGGTCACAACTTTTTTACTGGTCACATCAAATTAATTAGCACGGATTATTTTGAGATCACAAATAAAAAGTTTGTAGGTCACAGATTATTTCGAGGTCACAAATAAAAATTTTTGTAGGTTACAGATGATTTCGATGTCACAAATCAAAAATTTTATGGGTTACAATTTATTTCATTAGTCACATATCAAAAAAATTATAAGTCATAGGTAACAGATTTTCAAATTTGTTGGTTACAAATTATATTTCAATCACAAGTTATCAAATTTTAAAGTTACGATTTAATACTTGGTCGCATATAACCAAATAATTGGTTCACCGCCACCAACACTATCGCCACCGCTATTTGCAACCACCTCCTAACGCCACAACACCACCTCACCATTACCATCCGCCGCCACCACGGTCAACACCTCCACCTATACCTCTAACAAAAATCGTCACCAGATCCACCATTGTCAACAGATTCAAAAATCCAACCCCTCCCAAAATGCAGATCAATCCACTGTACCACCACTATCGCCTCCGTCACCTCCACAATCAAACCACCACCAACACCACAAAACTACCGTTCAAATCACCATAACCCCTACTCGCTAGATCCAAAAATCGAAACCCCCCCCCAAAGCACCGATGCACAAAAGCGCAGTGCTTGTGCTGCAGTCGAACCCCTAGAAGCCCCGAAGGAACAGAGGCCACCGCCCAATGCTGGTGCCACATTGCAGTCATTGTCGACGTGATGTCGTCTCCAGTGTGGTATCGTCTCCGACAATGAGGAGGGTAGTAGAGGAATGTTAATAGAGAATGGTGAGAAGAAATAATTAGGGTTTGGGGTGGGCAATTGGAGATGGGTGATTTTAAGAATAGATTAATACACGATATTTGTACAAATAAATTTCATATCTGATTTATGAATTGTATTTCTTAAAGACCTGTTGCCATGTAATTTTCCCTAATTTTAAACTCGATGCAAGGATACATAATGGACCCTACTTTCTATATAATTTTGTTCTACTCAAAAGAAAAGAGAGTACTCGTGAACACCTCATGTGTACAAGGCTTAGCTTTCTAATTCACCACACTAACCAACAAATTTTCCAAAATTTTAATTTTTTAAGTAACTCGTGAACCAATTGTAACTAGTATAAATAGGAGTTAGATTTAAGCCCCAATAAATAAGTAAACACTAAGCATTCATTTATAATGAGTGTTAATGTTAATTACCAAATAAGATGGCTCGGGCATTGCATAATCGTAGTAATACAACGAGTAATGCCGTTGATTAAAGAATAATCATATACAAGACCACTTGTATTTTGCAATATGGGACACAAGATTTGTTAAAACTTAAATTGATACCAAATATCACAAGTACTTAACACCCGGTCTAAGTAACTAGGAACATCTCACCATTGATTAAAGAATAATGCTACGAACACCATCAGTGTTTGGTAATAATTAAAACTTTTTTTTTTTGCCTCTCGGGGCATATCCCAGTAGTGTAAAGAATAGGAGTGAGGTAGTCTTAACCTTGCTGACATTCGCAGTGTGAAAGTTCGATTCCTGAAATATGAAATTAGACTATTTGTGGGCACCAGTGTACGGGCAAACTCTTGTTCCCTGACCTGTTGGGGCACATTTGACGATTTACCTCCCTCACGATACTTTAAAGACAGGGCGGTAGGAACTCTCAAGGTTGGATTCAACCTTTTTTTTTTAATAATTAAAACTTTGGTAAACGAAATGTTTATCCAAGCACCGCAATCTTGCATGATCGTTTGCTTTATCAAACTTGTGCACACTTTCATATGTACTTATTTTGGCTTATTACATGCTTGTGTCCCAAATGCCACTGGCACTACTCATTAAAGAATAATGCTATATAATATAACGAATGTTCTGTTAAGGGATAAAATTCCACGTCAAGTAATGATGAAAATATAGACCAATTTATAAGGGTTTGGATTACTCTTTTTAACATGATTGATCTTTTAAAATAGAACCTCAAATCTTTACATGATATCATAACCCATTAAACTTTAACAAGCAATTCAATCCGATTAATATTCAAAAAATGAATACACAATTTTCAAATTGGTCTTTTCAAGCGAGCCTCCATTTTGTGCTGACATATTAAGGGATAAAACTTCACATTGAATAATGAAGAAAAAAGATCAATTTTAGAAGAGTTTGAAATACTCCTCTTAACAAGATTGACATTTTAAAATGCAACCACAAATTTTAACATGTTCACCATGAACATCGCTTAAACTGATGTTAGTCATCAATAGTAAAATGTAGCATTAGTGAAGCACAACAGCTTACTCTTTGGTGGGACAATTAGTGTTTGTTTGTATTATGCATACACACACACATTAGCAAACTTGAAAAAGTGAAATGAAACCCAACAAAGAAGCTTTTCCGAAGTTCTAAAGATTTTAATAATAGCTATGCAGATACAGTCATGAGTCCCGTGACACAAAATGGCTTTTTACACCCCCCAAAGCTCCACTCTCCTTTTCACAAGTACTATATTTGTAACCTTTCTCCTACGCAGTCGCTGCTGGAGATTTATGACTATACCATACAGTTGTGTCGTTTTTGAAGGGGAGGGTATTTTGTCTTATATTGCATTTGCATGATGTTAGTGATTGTTCAACAGTGTTTTACACCATATTTACCAGTCAGATAGCTACACTGCCCAGCTGTTGGACTAAATTCTCCAATCACTTTTTTGTGACAATGAGTTCTGTGTTGAAATGTGGTTCATTTTGGGAAAAAATAGCATAAGTTTTCTTCGATGTAATTGTAAATATTTCAAAACAAATTCAAGTTTGTTAGGTAGAAATTCTCTTCAAGCTTTGCAGCCATGGATCTTACTAGCACCAACTACTTGGAAACTCCATCCTTGTTTGCACCTCAAGGGGTAAAAAAATTTACTACCTTTTCTTCCATTTTCTTGAATTCAGTGGTGAAAAAGCAAAAGTTGCGCTAGATTTTTACTGTGTAGATTTTGTTTTTTCTTATTCAGGGAGCAACATTAGAGAGCAGCAATGGATTGACAAACACAAAAAACCCATTTTTGGATACGTTTTCTGACCCTCTTTGCAAGCTGAATCTCAAGGAAACTTCTGATTTTGTCAAGTCCTTTCCAATGGCAAACAATGGCACAGAAAGTAGTGGTTTTCTTGAAGTTTCAGCTCAGAGGAGTAGAGGAAATGGAGTGGACTCTGTCTCAAAGAGAAATGTAGAAGCTCCATCTACACCTGGGAGGCCTATTTTCAGCTTCAGCAGTGGAAATTTTAGAAGAAAAAGTTTCCCTTCAAAATGGGACGATGCAGAGAAGTGGCTTGTTAGTGGCAGCTCTTGCCAAGACTCCCCTTCCCACCAGCCTGATGTCTTTCCAGAAAAATTTAGGGTTTCAGAGGAAAAGGTCTCTAAAGTTGTTTCAAACTTTCGAGGGGCTTTAGCACTGAACCATCAAGACTCAAACAGAGCTTTCGATGGCAATGTAACACTCAAAGGTAAGAATTCTTTCTTTACTTTGGATTCTTTGGCTTTTCTTCATAGCTTTACCCACATCATTTTCCAAAAATGTCAAACTTTTCCCAATTACCTTCCAAAATAGCTTTATGATAGTAACTTTCTTTCATCAATGGCCCATCTAAAATTAGGTTAAGCTACTTGCTCTGATGACAAAGCTATATGACTTTTTCCTTGCTCTTAACGTCAAATTACTTACCATTAGCTTCCAAAAATGCTTTATTATGACAACTTTTTTCATCAATGGCTCATCGTTTAGACTATGCTATTTGCTCTGATGACAAAGCTATAAGACTTTTTCCTTGCTTTTAACCATAAAATTATTTCATGATAATGAACTTTGAATCAGGGAAAAGGGAATTTGGCTCTGCTTAGTCAACATTTTGAGAATAGAGTATTTTGTGCTCTAAGATATCTACATTCTAAACCATCTTGTTGGTGAAAGAAAGAATACTTATAAATGCTGGCTTGCTTTTTTAGCTTTCTATATGTTTAAATTGACAGATTTGTATAGTTTTGGTTTGCCATTGAACAAATTGCATATGAATGTTGCCCATGTAGATAAATTCACAAATGAGGTTTGTCCCAAGTTTAAGTTTGTAGAGCCAATGAAAGAAGGATTTTTTTTTGAGAATGCGGTGGAAGAGTCGGCAGAAGATGCGACCTCAGAAGTAGTTCACAAGGTAAAACACCGTGACATTGGAACAGAAATGTCCCCTCTTGGCAGCTCGACCAATTCAAGATGCCCGACTCCGTTCATTAGCACATCACCTGTACGCCATAACACTCCAGCTAACAGGTCCGGCCCATTGGCCTTGGCAAATATTGACGATGCCAGCACTATTGACACAATGCAACTGCAAGAGTGCCATTTAGCCAAGTTACATCATGAGATGCAATTCGATTCTGTGACAACGAATTGGAGCTCTAGAGAAGAGGAGGAGGAGGACATATCGAAGAGCTTGAGACACTTTGAGATAAATATCGAGTGCAGGAAGAGTATTTCCGAGTCTAGATCCTGTACGTGGGAGGAAGAGGAAAAGACTAAGTGGTGCCTCAGGTAAATGAATCATAATGTTCCTCCATTCTCTTGTTATTTTTTCCTAAAGACGTATTAATTGGAAGCAGAACTTCAGGTACCAAAGAGAAGAAGCGAAAATCCAAGCTTGGGTGAATCTCCAAAATGCCAAAGCAGAAGCCGAATCCAGAAAGCTTGAGGTGTAATTTCTATCCATCCACTTCTGCATTGACCCCAAATTCCTTTCGAGTAATGCTATTCAGCAACACCATTCTTGGTGGCAATTACATGGCAGTAAATGATATATTCGCTTAAATGTAATGTGACACGATTCACTTAACTGAACTTATTAAATGTGGACACCTAGACTGGCGTTAGATAGCATCATTCATTCCTTTATACTATGAAAATTAGGCATAAATAACAAAATGAAGTTAGCTGTTAATTCATCAGTTCGAAGATTGCATTATCCCATCAAAATTCATTCTTTATGCTCATCCATTTCCATTTCCATCTCCAATATGCATCAGTATGGTTCATTTCTTGAAGTTCATTCTTCTGCACCTTGGTAGCGAAATATTTTAATAGTAATTGCTCGAATCTAGTAATATATAGTATTCCTAATAAATTTGAAGTCGGCTACCTAAGTCCTTTTCTATTCAGTACTATTCGTTGCTAGATCTGCTACATTGAGCACATTTTTTGTGTGTAAGGCAGATTTCTTCTGCCCCTTTATGCGTCTGTATTATTTTGGTCATAGATAAAGACTTTGCAAGCTTATATTTAGCTTTATCTTCATTGAGCCACTCGTCAGACAGGGACAGTGTTCCCAAGGTGGTCCTAATCTCTTTATCCAATGCATGTAATGTACACCAGAAGTAAGAAAGCAAGAGAAGTCATCACAGTGCAGATTATTATATTTCATGCTTGAATGACTATTTAACATTGGAAGTTTGAAAGTCATGTGAAGGTGCTGCACTCCCAAAAATCTAGGCAAATTATTAATTTAGATTAGTGTGTTGATTTTGTGCTTGAAATTTTGTTGGCATTCTAATGGATAAGACAATTATTTTACTGATAAATAAATGGAGGAACATGATTTGTTCCTTTATCAGCTTCTGCCTTGTCATTGGTGTGTAGTTATAAGCAAAGAAAACTTGTATTACCAGCATTCTAATAATGGGGTCTGGCTAAGCTTAAAAATAAACTAGTTTTTTGTTGTGAAAGTCGGAATAAGTAACTTATTTTCATATATAAAAAGTAAGTTATCCAATCATATTTGGAACTCGTGGTTAAAAAACAACGCTGACGAGAATTTCTCTTGCAGGTGAAAATACAAAAGATGAGATCAAATCTGGAAGAGAAGTTAATGAAGAGGATGGCAGTTGTTCATCGAAAAGCCGAAGAATGGAGAGCCACAGCCCAGTTTCAGCACTCGGAACAAATTCAAAAAGTCGGTGAACAATCGCGCAAGTTGATGAGCAGAAATACCATGCATTTCTCAGGTCACAAATCTTGTGGTTGCTTCCCTTGCAATAGCCATCGCATATGAATTCATTTACCCCAGCAATTGGAACGCTATCATCTTAAACAAAAATCACGTAGAGAGTTGAGTCCTTGGAAACAGAAATGTGATCATTTGCTAATTCACATGTGATGGGATATGACAACACTTCTTTGCTTTCTTAGTTCAAAATTGCTTTCTAGAGAATACAAGTTGAATACATTTTTTCTTGAAGGCGAAGAATTAACTTATTCACAGATTTTGTGACCTTTCATGTGATTTTAAATTTTAACATCTAGAGCCTGTTTGGGAGTGATTTTGAGAATTGATTTTTTGACTGTTAGAAGAAAAGTGGGATTCACCTGTGAAAGAAGAAATCAAATATGACGGTTGAAATAGTGAAATAATGATCAAAAAATCAATTTTTTGGTAGGAAAAATCGCTCCCAAGCAGGTCCCTATATGGACATCTCCTTTACGTGGGACCCAAAATAAAGGACAAAGACAGTGGTACTAGAAGCCTAGATTTATAGCACGTGGTACATTAACCTTATATGGTACGGATGACAATGATGATTTTGCTGTGTATACATCAAACTTTTCGTAATGAATTACATAATATCGTATGTTACTTTATTATTTGTTAGTTTAAAATATAGTTAATTTTTTCATCTAACTTTTTTCTCCACATCATTTTATGCAATTTCTTATATATAATTTTTATGTACAAATAACATAATACAAGAAATTGCATGAAAGATTCATATTGCACTTTTTAATGTGTAATAACTTGAAATTACTATAGTGTCTGGCATACAATTAAGAGTAAGTGCATTAAATGACATTTATATCCGTATACCGGATATTATTTCAATCAAATATCATGTGTTTAGCATTTTTCCTTTTTAGTACTCAAATATATTATTAGGCCCTTATTTAAGTCCCATTCTTTTAAAAAATTATTTTTAATCATACATTTTTCAATAAAATAATATTATATGAAAATTCAAAAAATTTCTTTAATTTTTAATCATATGTTCTCTATTAATCTGTTATTCAAAATGCATTCTTTCTTCTAAAATGGGGCTCAAACAGGGGCTAGATGTGTATTCAACATGGAAAAAATAACTCAAAAATACATGAATTAGTCATTTTTTAACCGGAGTAAATTTTGGGAAAATATATAGTGAATGGGTCTTTTTTAATCCACCTTGTTTAAGATGAGCTTGACCAAGTCACAATCGAGTTTTGCCCGACCAAACTTCAAATGAGCGAGCTCTCAAGGTTCAACCCTTGTGAGTCGCACCTTGGCCAAGCCTACCAAGGTCTCGATCCTTTGACATGTGTTGATTTTTACAAATATATTATTAGGCCCTTATTTAAGTCCCATTCTTTTAAAAAATTATTTTTAATCATACATTTTTCAATAAAATAATATTACATGCAAATTCAAAAAATTTCTTTAATTTTTAATCACATGTTCTCTATTAATCTGTTATTCAAAATGCATTATTTCTTCTAAAATGGGGCTCAAACAGGGGCTAGATGTGTATTCGACATGGAAAAAATAACTCAAAAATACATGAATTAGTCATTTTTTAACCGGAGTAAATTTTGGGAAAATATATAGTGAATGGGTCTTTTTTAATCCACCTTGTTTAAGATGAGCTTGACCAAGTCACAATCGAGTTTTGCCCGACCAAACTTCAAATGAGCGAGCTCTCAAGGTTCAACCCTTGTGAGTCGCACCTTGGCCAAGCCTACCAAGGTCTCGATCCTTTGACATGTGTTGATTTTTAGGGCTTGGTCCCTTCATTCATGTTTGAATACTGACGTGTGGGTTACAACTATAAAGATCGTATGTATTGTATCAATAATACCATAATGTAGCCTGCCTCCCTAGATAATATTTCAACACAAAAAATAAAAATAAAAATTATTTTGAGCCTCGCTTGTAGTGCTTTGAAGTATTTATAATCTGTAATACTTAAAACATCTTCAAGAGACTCACAATTCACAAAGAATATTTTTTTATATAATAGAGAGTATCTTTAACTTTAAAGAGATTTTTTTTATACACTTCAACAATATTCTCTATTAAAGTATTTCATTTTTTTTTTTCAATAAACTTCTATTGATTTCCATCATATTTTATTTTGTTGAATTTAATATTAATCATGTTAAGAATCAGGAATCACAATACAATAATTAATAAAAAGAATTCATATTTACGGAGGTCATTGTTGATATGAATAATAGTTGTAATAGTAATTAGATCTTCCCCTTCTTACTTTTTACAAAATATTAGCCGTCAATAGAGCAAACTAATAAAAACAATATGGAGAGGAAATGGGACCTAGCCTTGTATAGGAAATAATTGAGTCGTACCATTACGACTAGATTCTAATTAGGGTTTATTTTCGATCACATATTTAAAATTACTACATCATATTAATTACAACTCGTAAGGTATAAAATGCCCAATTGTTTACTTAATAAATTTGCTCAATCACAAATATCATTATGACTCATATATCTAACTAGTAAAATAAATAATTAAATGTAAAGCCCATATTAGAATATTCCAACATATTTAACATATTTTTTAGATGACAATGATCAATTAATTCAAATATGTCTTGAATAATTTAAGCGGTAAAGTATTAACTTTAATTGAAATCATTATAAACTTTCTTCTAGGTTGTGCTTAAGAAATGATTATTTAAAATAAAGAACATCTTGTATGCATAGTCTCTTGAAAATGTTATTAAAAAATGCTTTAATAAGAAGAAAGTATAAATTCTTAGATGAAAAGTATGTTAGAATCTATTTTAAAAATTTAAGCTTTGCCAAACACGAAATAAAAAATTGCATCAAATTGTGATAAATCCCACCAGAGTCTCTTGCTATTGAAAAAAACAGTATAGTGTATGTGCTGTCTCTATCTCTCTCTACTTTTGATAAGGCTGCAATTCCTGCAGTAGACTGTCGTTGAATCTTGTATTCAACTCTCGGTCTTGAACTCCTATTCACTCTTTATACTTCAGTCTGACTTCAGCTTGAAACAAAATAAAAGTTAATAATAAATGAAAAAAGTTCAAGTGTGTTAGGTTGAGCTTTAAAAAATTAGAAATAATTGTAGCAAAAGTTCTAAATTTTTGAAACACTAGCAGACTTTTTTTACGAATGTTTGATCTGTTGCAATCGTCACTTCTAATTTTTTTAAACGTTGCTGGTGAGACTCTTTTGAATAGCTTCCATCCACAATTCTATCGGTTAACCAAAAATTTAACATTAACCACGTTTTAAATATTTTGAAAAGGGGTAAAAGAGTAATTTTCTATTTTCCACATTAAATAATTATATTTATTAAATTAAAAATAAAAAATGAGACAAAACAAAACAATCTCCTTCTTCCTCTTCCCTCTACCCCCATCCCCATCTCTTCAGCCACTCGACCTCTGCCACCTCCACCTCCACCTCCACCAACCACCTGCCACTAGCCACCACCATCCATCCCATCACAATCCCTACCGAACAAATACTATCTACTTATCAACTACTTGTTTTTATCTATTTATAATTTAAACGTTTATAAACACTTCTCAAACATGTTGGCCTACTATTCTTGTATTTTTGGTTCCAATTGAACTAATAATATTCATAGTATCTTAATTGAGCCAAATATTTTACACATTAAAGCTATTTTAAAAGAACTACAGAGAGCCTAATAATCAAATTAGCCCAAATGGTGGCAAATATATAATCCCATCTCATAAATCAGATGCATTGATGTCAATATGGTAAAAATGATTACCCATGGAGAACTTACGGGTGATGAGTGGATCGAGGCACTCATTGACCGAGGCAAGCCACGAGCTAGACGGACAACGAAAACGTTATCTAAGTCGCTCATCGACTCACATGACTAGGCTTGCGAGCTAACATCACAAGCCAAGCAAGCTAGCTCGCGATCCAATAGACTCGCCTATCATGTTCCTTGCAGTATTTTGCAATCGTTGAATTGATTCAGTGGCTACATTTTGCAGTATTCAACAACCACTAGATAATCAAATTTGAATTTTAAATTTTTTTCTTTTACACAGCAAATTTTTTTTATCTATAACAAACAGTGCTATTACCTTCATTTTTAACACAATTTCAGCTGTCATTTATAAATCTTTCATTCTTAGCATATGCTCTCTTCGCTCTTCTCAAGCAATGGATCGAATTTTTATTTTATTTTTTAATGATCTCATAATTTCTTTGCTAATATTCCACTTCGGGGGGGAAAAAAACAACAACAACAATAACAACGTTTTACGATCTAATATCTGCTTGTATATCTATATACATTTTTTTTTTCATTATTACATCACATACATTATGTAATAGCTAGCTCATGATCTTCTTCTTCAAAAAGAAAATAATTTATTCATTTTTTCGCCAAACTTTCACATATCAGATGAAAAGCCAATCGTGTTACAACATTCAATAGGAAGAAAGAAGAATTAAAGATATTGTATATAAATTACAGGTATAGTATTTCTTTAGCATTTGATGGTATATTTTCTGTTGGCGATAATTGATATGTATAGCAGCAACATTATATCTTAACGATGATAATTTGGCTCTTCCAAAAAAAATATTTGTCATTAAACACATTGAGTCTGATGAACCTATGTATAAATTATTGCACATTCAAATAAATTAATAAATAAAATATTTAAAATATCTTGGTTAACAATAGTTTTCTATATCAATTAACGTTTTCTTTACTTCTAGTAGAACATATAAAACTGCTTCGTCAAGTATTTATAGTTAATTGTACAATTTGGTGTCTTAGAAGATCCTTTTGGTAAATTTAAGAATGCAAAATTGAAAATAGGGCGGTTTAGACCATCTCCAGTGCTGCACTAAATTTTGCACCAAATTAAAATTCATCTTCAACCATTATACCAAATGAACAGTGTTTAACTATTTTCTTCCCTTTTTTATTCTTTATAATTTATTTATTTGAAATATTATTTAATTATTTTATAAATACATAAATTACTAAACAAATTATTATGTTAAATTACGAAAAAGATCAAATTCATTAATAAATATAAAAAATATATAGTACAATTAATAAAACAATACAACAGCAAAAATATTAAATCGTGCCATCAGAAAATAGTACAATGCATTTCGAATTTCAATAGACGATATTACAAAGTTGCAAATTTTTTGCAATTTAATTCTCGGAATTCATATGTTT